GACGTGAATGACTAATACTTTGCACTTTGAGACTGAGGAGCTGGGTTTGATTTCTTTGTTTTAATTTTCTTTTCTCCCTCATTTGTATGTTTCCATGATTTTGGCTCTCCTTTTCCTTGCCCCAAACTCCAGGAGGTATGTAATCCCCTCCCCCTGCTCGCTCGCTCTGCCCAGGCCACTGTAACTGCTGCAGCGTTTCTGATTTTGTTATTGTTGGTTACTTTGTTTTTAATTGCTGGTGGTAGTGTTAATGCTGCTTCTAACTTCTTGTACAGTCCCTCGGGAACTGGCCAGGATCAGGGGTTTCCCGTTTTGGGGCGGCGCACAGTGGGGACAGCGAGGTGCCTTCTGCAGGCAGCAGTGGGAGAAAGCACAGAGAGGACCCCGAACGCTTTCCTGTAGGCACTTCCCAGAGACGTGTGCCACTTGTTGAATTTCAGTCAACACCCGTGAATTAAAAAGTAATTTTTAAAGTGGAGGGGGGCATTCTGACTTCCTGAGCCGCGTGCTTCTGATCCAATTTGACCAGGAGCACTGGGGAGGGCGTCACCTCTGCGTGAACAGGGAAGCGGTGTTTCCTGAGCTCAGAACAGTGCCGAGTGAAACTTTTTTAAAAGGAGACAGAAACCAAAAACTCCTCCTTAAAGCCCCTTTGCCTCATTTCTGCGTGTTAGGAGAGGGCATTCCAGCCTTGGCTCTGTTTTTTATATTATTACTTAAATTTAAAAAAATATATGTTTTAATTGATGTTAGAGGAAGGGAGAGGGAGAGAGAGACATCAGTGGGCTGCCTCCTGCCCACCCCCTACTGGGGACCGAGCCCACAACCCAGGCCTGTGCCCCGACCTGGGCAGAGCTTCCCGGGGGAAAAAGAACCACCAGACGGTGACGTTCCTGGCAGCGTTTTAGGGACGGGCAAGTTGTTCCCGACTCCAGGGGGAGCTGGCTCTGGCCTTCCATCTTGGGTTCAGGGACATGAGGAGGGTCCTGTGAGTTCCACAGGGACTGTCCTAGGTGCGCATTGACCTGTCTGCTTGTTTCATGTCTGTTTTCTTCCCGCGGGGAAGTGCCCCCGGGGACTGCAGTGGAGCCTCCTGGCAGAGTCTCTGACGCCGCAGGTGCTTGGGGAAGTGGCCCAGCTTTTCAGTCGGGGAGAGTCCCCCCAGCTTCGCTTTCTCTGCCGGATCCCCTCCGTCTTCCTCTGGCCTCTGACCTTTCCCATGACTCCTGAGCCCCATGTGCCCTGGGTGGTCCCATGAGGGGAGTGCATGGTCGTCAGCGAGGGCCCAGGTGTCCTGGGTGCTGAGCCCTGTGTGGGGATGGAGGCCCAAGAGGCAGGAGAGCTGAGTTCTCAGACTCTGAAATGGGGGGGCCTTCCCCTATCAAAGCGGCTCCAGGTCTAAGTAAGCCCCGTGCCTTTTCCTCATTCCTTCAATTCCGCCAGCCTTTCCTGTTCTCCACGTGCATGCCACGTCCCGGTCCATGGCTGTCCTCTCCATGCCTTCGGGGCCACGGGCATGCGCTCACATACACTTCCCATCGCTGTGGGGGAGCGTCTGCCTGATCCAGTGCAGGCGGGCGGGGTGTCGCACGAGCTTGTGACCGCCAACCTCTTTCATGACCGAGTGTGCCGTCCAGAAGCTCGGCATGAGTGGTCAGCCCCTTCACCTCCTGAGAGCAGGCCCCACACAGAGCCCGCCAGAGGGACCAGCGGTCCTTGCACTGCTGCCAGGACACACGCTGCACGCTTTATCCATGCCATCGCTCGCATCCCTCCCGCAGTCATCTCCTCTCGGGAAACCTGGCGTGAGCACGCGGGCACATCCTGGGGTGGGAAATGCTCCCTGCAGAACCGCCTTCTCTGCGATGAGGCAGGAGAAAGCACTGCCGAGTCCACACTAGCTTCACACCGTGGTCCTCACTGTCTGTGAAGATCGCAGAAGTTACGCTCTCTGTGGGTTAAATCTTACCAAAAAGCGCATACCATCTGGGCAGGAAGGAGTGCTTAAAATGCTCCATGTGTCGTGGCACTGAAGGCCTCTGGATAACTTCGTTCATGTCCAGAAAGCTTCCCCTTGATTCGGCGTAAGTAGGGGGAAAAGTGTGGGCCTTGGTCGTGAACGAGGCAAGTCACAGTTCAGTTTCCCTCCCCCCGTGTCCGGCTCTCCGTGACTTCGCGGCCCAGCTTGGCTTTGTTTTCCGTTGAGAACTATTGCAAAGGGTTAGAGAGGCCGTCAGCAGCTTGCAGCTGCACTGCAGGGCCCACGTGGCCCTGTCGAGTGGTCTTTCCCACAAGTGTCCGGTGAGCAGTCCAGAGCCTCCTGTTGCCAGGAAACCTTCCTGAGACAGGGCTCCGGGAAGTCCTAGTGCTAGGACCTGGTCCAGAAGCCAAGGCCGAGGTAGGAGTTCCCAACACCCAGGAAGTGCGGCTCCACGTCCCAGGAAGCTGGGTTTGACAGGAAGGGCCGGCAGTGTCCCCCTTCTTCCTCCCCCGCCTTTTGATACAGCAGCTCTGACGGCCGGGCCAGCCCAGCGTGCAGCTGGATCAGGGGCTCACCCTCTCCCCTTTTTTTTTTTGCCCATTTCCACCCCGAGAGAAACTCCCCAGCCCCGTCAGAGCTGCGTCGCGTGCCCAGCGTGTCCCGGGTCTCCCTCCCCACCGAGCTCATCTTGCTCTCATCTCTGTCCTGACTCCATCTCAGGCGCCACCTGACTTGCTTGCTCTGCTTGTACCAGACTTTCACCTGGTGAAAGGTGCTTCTGTTTGGCTCTGTGTCTTGTCACCAATGTGAACCTTGCCATGGTCTCTGTGTCTCTCTGGCGCCTGCTCTCGCTGCCTCTTCCTCACTGGAGGGGAGCACGTGCTGCGGGCCCACCCTGCCCGGTGCCTCCTGGCCCACACGTGTCTCTTCTTGCTCCGCAGGTGGCAGGGTCAAGACCTGGAAACGGCGCTGGTTCATTCTGACGGACAACTGCCTTTACTACTTTGAGTATACAACGGTGAGTGCCCGCTCGGGGCCTGGGGCTGGGGGGCCGGGCTGCCGGCCGTCGGGCTGTGTGTAGGCGCCTGTGTGGTAGCCACTGCTGCTGAGCTGGGAGGCCCTGCAGGAGGACCAGGCAAGGTGAGGGGACGGCACGGGGTTTGCTGTGTTCTGGGCAGGAGTGAGGTGCCTCTTTGGATCCTGGTGGAGTTGTCAGATGGGCACTTTCTCTTGGAGGGTCCTCAGTCTGGTGACGGGGAAGACAGGCCAGGAGATGAGTAGAGAATGCCCCGTGACAGCTCTATCCCAGGTGTTGGGCACCTAGGACTACAATGGGGCCTTTGGGGGTGGCTGACTCCAGGAACTGAGGCTTAAAAGATGAGGAGGGGTCAGGCAGAGACGCTCAATGTGTGCCGTCTGAAGGGCCACCTGCTCCCACCGAGGGCAACACGGGTCTGGCCGTCACCCTCTTGCCAGGATCTGTTGGATCCCTGGGCGCGCTCCTTGCCAAGGCTCCGATGATGGGGATCCACGTGGGGTCCCCGACAGCACTCATGCATCTCCTGACCTGGTTCTTATTTGAGAGCGTCGCTGTGGGACTGGCTGAGTTTGGAGGAGGCAGACGGGTGAGGGTGAGTCATGTCGCGGGTGTGTTTGCAAACCGAGCCCTGAGCGCTGCCCACCTCTCGTAGGATAAGGAGCCCCGGGGGATCATCCCTCTGGAGAACCTGAGCATCCGGGAGGTGGAGGACTCCAAAAAGCCAGTGAGTACTTGTGGTGGGATATTTGGGGAAGGAAAGGAATGGGTGGAGCAGCTCTTTGCAAAAGAATGAGGCGAAGATTCACCTAAAAACCACGGGCAGGACTGTCGAGCCTGGACTTTAGTGCTCAGGCCAAAGGTCAGGCCCCGAGTGACCTCTTTGTTCTGTCCACTTGTTGAGCGTCACTCACCACCCCATGGGGTGGACTTGTCCCTTTTGAGGAGCAGCAGCACCTGGTCAGGCTGCCGTCTCAGGAGCGCCGTGGCGTTGCTGGCGCGGCTCTGGCTGACTCGCTCTGGGGGTGGCTTTGCCGAGGAGGCCGGTCCGGACACAGCTTTCGCCCTGCAGAGTTCAGTCCAGGCCCCTCTTCCTGCCAGGAACACACAGCCTGCGTGTGAAGTCAGAGCAGAGCCGGGGGAAGGGAGTTAACGTTCTTCTTAGATCTGTGTTGCCCCGACTCTCAGAACTGCTTCGAGCTGTACATCCCCGACAATAAGGACCAGGTCATCAAGGCCTGCAAGACGGAGGCCGACGGGCGCGTGGTGGAGGGGAACCACACTGTGTACCGGATTTCCGCCCCGACGCCCGAGGAGAAGGAAGAGTGGATCAAATGCATCAGGTGGGTGCTGCTGGGCCCAGCCCCGCGCCCTGCGTCCCCCCACTCCCCGCGCCCCAAGGCCGCCCCTCTCCCGCTGTTGCCCCTGCTGAGAGCAGCTGCCCTGTTCTCTCCACGGAGAGTGTGACCGAGATCCGCAGATTACTTTCAGCGGATCGTAGAGCGTGCGCCTCACAGGCCCATGGGGCGCAGGTGAGCGAGTGACAGGAACAGGTGCCGTTCGCCCAGCTGGTTTTCCCAGGTCTTCAGGCGCAGGCCTGGTTTTCACGGTGGCGGCTCAGTGGCCATGGGAGTCGTGTTTGGTCGTTTCTGAGTCCTGGGAGATGCCGCCGTCCCTTTTACAGATGAAGGAAGCTGAGGCCTGTCGAGGGAGAGTAACTTGCCCGAAGCCATGTGGCTGTGACCAGGGTCCTGCTGTCGCGGGGAGGCTGTGGCCTGGGAGGAGGGCGGGTGCCGGCTCAGCGCCCAGGTGTGGACAGAGCCGTGGCCCAGGGTTGCCCTGCGTTGCTGCCGCGCACCACGAGGAGGTCACGGCTGGGTGTCCCGGTGGGACCTGGCTGCGACCGAAAGCACCCGTGCCAGGTGCAGCCCTGCGGCTGGTTGGGTCGCGGGCGTCACTGCTCCATCGTGGACTAAAGCTCCACATTTGTTTACCCCGGTGAGACCACAGCTGAGGGAACGTGTCACACTCTGTTCCTGTGAACACCCCACACGGTCTTGTCACCCGTTCCGTGTCTCTCTCCTTAGCCGTCTTGCAGACACGGAGACGGTGGATGCACTGATGGCCTTTACGGGGCACGGAGTGAGCAGGGGTCTGGGCACCTGTGTCCCCCGCCTGCCCTCAGCCTCTCCGCTCCCCCTTCTGTGTTGCAGAGCAGCCATCAGCAGGGACCCCTTCTACGAGATGCTGGCTGCGCGTAAGAAGAAGGTCTCCTCCACCAAGAGACACTGAGTCTGCGGAGAGGGCCGGGGCTCCCACGGACGGGGTGCTGGGCAGGGGCGCTGGGCATCGCCCTCGACCCCAGAGACTAGCTTCAGCTTTTGCTGTTTGTTTAAAGTGGGAGAAGGGCAGGCGGCTCCCGCTGGGAAGAGGGACCTGAGCCGGTGCCGCGGGGGCGCCTTCTCTCTGGAAAGAGCAGAGCTCTGGCCCCAGGGCAGCCACGCGGGTGTCCACTCAGCGCTGGTGGCCGAGCCCTGTGACGGGCGCCCTCAGTGTTGCCCTGGGAGGAGGCGTCAGCCCTGCACCGGAATCCATGTCTCTGTAGCACCACACGTTGAAGTGGAGAAGCCACGTCCTATAAAGATATATTTTTGTTTTTTAAGAAGAGGAAGGTAAAGCAGAGCTGTGCCTGCGCATCCTGCCCATCTCGCTGGGAGGCTTCTCCCCGGCAGCTGCTAAGGGGGTGGCCCTGGGCCTAGGGGCAGGTGTGGGCCCCCAGTGGGAGGGCAGAGGGAGCAGCAAGGGCACAGGACCTGACACGGAGTCTGCCCGGGAGCGCCGAGTGGGGAGTGCCCGTCGGACACCCGCGCTGCTCATCTCGGGATCCACACCTACCGGGCTTTAGAGTAGAAGGCGTTTTCCTTGAGCTAAATACCTAGTAACCAAAACCGAGCAGGCGGCCGCGAGGCTCTGGCAGCCTCATGTCCCTCCCTTGGTTAGGCTCCCACTCCCCAAACTCCAGTCCTCGTTTTAGAGGATGGGGGGTCTGACCACTCTCCTGGGGCTGCAGCTTTCTCTGCCCCACACCTGCCC